ATCTTTTATCTCCAAAAATGTATTGTTTCATGAAAATGTTTTCCCTCTCAAAGATAACTCTATCAAACCAGATGAAAACAATGTCAATCTTACTCAAGATCCCATAACCCACAATGAAGCAGTTTTTGCAAATCTAAACACAAGGCATGATGTTGAACTAACAGAAACAAATTCCTAAAACTTTCAAACAAGTTCCCAAACCATTCAACTTGTGGAAGAATTTTTACAAAATTCTGATGAACTTGAGCCTGACAGTGACATTGATAATCTAAACCTTAGTAATTATGATTCATCATCGAATGCGACTCCTACTCATTTACCTCGCAAGTCAACAAGAATCAGAAAAACACAATCACATCTCCAAGATTTCATATGTCATCAGGCTATCTCTCTTCACTCGTCTCAAAAGTCAAAGAAGCTAAAGGAATCAAACTCCTCATGTAATTACTATCTCCTCAATGCTTGTATCACCTATGAAAATTTTCAGATTCACATAAATCTTTTGTTACCTCCGTCACTTCTCAATATGAACCTAGAAATTACCAAGAAGCCAAAAATTCCCTTAAATGGTGTGTAGCCATAAAGGCTGAGATTGAAGCTCTTGAACTTCATGCCACTTGAGTTTTAGTTTATCTACCTCCTGGCAAAGAAGAAATAGGTTGTAGGTAGGTTTACAAGGTGAAGTTCAAAGCTGATGGTAGCATGGAAAGATTCAAAGCAAGGCTTGTTGCTAAACGGTATACACAACAAGAATGACTTGATTACAATGAGACATTCTCACAAGTTGCAAAACTGGTCACAGTTCGAACTTTGCTAGCAGTGACAGCCATAAAAGCATGGAACCTTTTCAATTTGATGTCAATAACGCCTTCTTGCATGGTGAACTAGACGAAGAGGTGTATATGGAGGTTCCACCTGGTTATTTTGAGGCAAGCACCAAGAAGAAAGTTTGTAAGCTCAAAAAGAGCTTGTATGGATTAAAGCAAGCATCACGCCAATGGTATGCCAAACTTTCCAAATTTATCATTGAACAAGGATACGTTCAATCAAGGGTAGACTACAGTCTTTTCACTAAGAATAATGGATCTTCTTTTAGTGCTGTCATAGTATATGTTGACGATATAATAGTGGCTGGAAAATGTATTGATATGATTAAACATCTCAAATGTTCTCTTCATGACAAGTTTAGGATCAAGGACCTTGGAAAGCTTAAGTATTTCCTTAGCATAGAGGTGGCCAGATCTGTAAAAAGCATTTGTATATGTCAAAGGAAATATGCTCTTAACATTTTGAAAGATTCGAGGGCAATTGGCTCAGCACCTACAAAGATACCACTGGATCAAAATGTGAATTGATCAAAGATGAAGGAGAATTGCTTCCTGAACCAGTACTTTACAGAAGATTCGTTGGCAAACTATTGTATCTAATAATAACCAGACCTGATATCTCTTACTCAGTTCAACTGCTAAGCCAATTTATGGAAAGCCCTTGTATCCCACATTTACACGCAGCACACAAGGTTTTGAGATGCATCAAAAGAGCACCAGGCCAATAAGTATTCTATCCTACAGATTTATTGTTACAACTACATGGATATAGTGATTCTGATTAGGGAGCCTGTCCTAATACCAAGCGATCAATAACGGGATATTGTGTCTTGATTGTAAAGTCACTAGTATCTTGGAAATCGAAGAAGCATCATGTAGTTTCAAGATCATCTTCAGAAGCAGAATACAGAGCTATGGCCAATTTATGCTGTGAATTAATATGGTTCAAGTACTTATTTGAAGATCTAAAATTTGCTCATCCTCAAACTGCTTTCCTATACTGTGATAACAAGTCAGCTATTCATATAGCTATCAATCCAGTATTTCACGAGAAGACCAAGCATATAGAGCTTGATTGTCATTTAATACGTGATGAAATTCAAAATAGATACATTGTTACTAAGCATGTTTGTTACACCCCACTCATTCTAGTCAAAGTCAAAAATTCAATTGGTCAAAGTCAAGGTCAAATAGGGACTTCATTGGAATAACGTATTTCCTGGGGCTTATTTTACAAGGGATAAAATATTTGAGGGAATAAGATGAAAATCATTTAAATGTTGGGACTCACTTTTAAAGTAGTGAAAGATAAGGATTTAATGGGCCTTATGTTATGATTGGAGGACTTGACTTGCAAAATGGGCATTAATGGAATACAAGTGGCAATTTTGGAGCTCATTCTCTCATTTTCATTGTAAACACACCCGCAGAGAGCTGAACAGAGAAGGAAAATATCTAGAGAAGAAGAAAACCGAGAAAAGAGAAGGAAAAAGGAAAAAAAAAAAAAAAGGAAAAAAAGGGGGTAAGTGTTGAATTCTTTACTCTTAGGTTCAAATTATCTATTACTTTATGAGATAAAGGAATTATTTATGTTGATTTCTAGGGTTCTAATTGGTTGAATTAATTTTCAGATTTTGGGAAAGAGTAGGATTTCAAGCTGATCTTTTGGTTTTGTGAAAACGAAATTTGTATCAAGGTAAGGAATTTTATTTTTGAGCAAACCCTAGGATTTTTAGTTGGAGTCTTGAATGAAGGGTATTGTTGAATATGATTGTGATTATGAAATATTTACTTGGAGTTATGAAATTATGGAATAAGATGAGAATTTAATTGGTTGAATTGTAGTTATTCGTTGTTACTAGATTGAAGTGGAGATGTACATTTATGCTTGGAGTGAATATTATGTTGATGAATTGATTAAATGGACTAGAAAGTGTAATTAGCCCCAATTGATTAAAGGAATAATATGGGAGGTTATTTCAAGTAACGAGGAAACATATATAATATTGTTACCTCATTTGTGTAGTATGCAGGTGATAGCTATAATTTAGAGGCAAATCAAATGATATATTAATATAAGGAATGAAATTGGAAGAGGTAGCCGATTCTTCTAAGTTGTCAGAAAAGAGAGGGCAAATGATTAGCAAATTGTTACTAGTGGTGCTTGGTTGGTAAATAATCAAAGAGAAGAAAAGTTAAGTGAAATAGAGATGCAAGAATAAATATAGAAGTTGAGAAGTTAAGCGGTGGATTTGTATTAATTTAATTGTCAGCTTTTAATTTGAGTAATTATACAGTTTTCCAGGTAGTGACATGAAAGCTTGGAAATGCTCGTCTATATAGCCAGACTGTTATCCATAGATAAGTGAGTGGAAAAACTTAAATATTTTTCAAGTATTGATAATTAATTATACAACTATGAATTTTATGCAATTATGCGAATTATTTGTCCAATTACACGATTAATGTGGAGACATTATTTCATTATGATATATGTGGAATTTACAAAGACTGTATGTTGAGTACTTGTGAATTTGAATGTGAGACATATGTTTATTGACCACTACTAGGGCAC